ATGTTCAACATAGCGTAGACATTCTTCGTTTGGAGGGAAAATACACGGTGAGGAGTCAATCATGACAAATTTCACTCAAATTTTTGTACAAATTCCTGCACAACTGAGTCTGTCGTCCACTTTGAAAATTTTCGTATTACAGAATTATTCCACCTAGAGACTTCAAGGATCAACTCGTCAATAGAATCCTCCATTTGGTTTTTGAAGTTTACCTTCAATATACATAGTTGCTAATAATTGTGACATTCATTTTGACTCACTCCGAAGAAATTATTATGAGGAGTTATCTAATCAAGGGATATTGACTAAAATGAATTGATTAAGATTGAGGTATTTGTAATATTCCATTTAATTTTATCATTTAGTTATGAGTGAGTTTTTAAGTTTTTGCAGATCAGATCGAGCTCTTTGTTATATTTTCTTTCATTCAGTTATTCAGTTATTATTCAATATTATACTGTTTTTGTCTGTAATTGGATATTACACCTATTGAGAATAAAGAACTTATTATTTTAATTATTAAATTCATAATCGAGATATGAGAGGTATTCTGAAAAGTTGTAAACGAACACCAATCGAAAGCATGCCAGAAATGTGTTGCGGTTAATGATGATTGTCAATCAGAGAATCATTTATGTTCATGATTTAAATGAATTATAATGTGGTTTATTATTTAAAATGGAAGAAAAAATGTAACCTAATTATTTGGAAGGAAATCTACATTTTGGCAACAAATTCAATGATAACGAAACTGGACACCAAACGATTTTCGAGTGAATAAGTGTAATAAAAGTTTCATGTGTAAATATATAATGAATAGAGGTTTGACTGAATTTCACAATTTGCCAATATCTGTAAAGTACTCTGCTACCTAGAGTACATAGTACCTAGAATAGAGTTTCCTATAAATCTCCAACACTGTATTTCAGAAAATTTTCATTGAAATGTTATGTATTATGTGAATGTGATTATTGTATTTTTATATTATCATTATGTGTATAGCTCATTGCTAAATACTATATTATATCAGTATTATCATTATAAACATGACTATACCTCATATGGATGTTCACTACAGTATCTACCTAATGGGTTGATTCTCATTCTGTGAAATTTTTCGGAAGGTATATAACTTAGTAACAACTCTGAAAAAATCACGCAGGAAATTTGTAAATTCCTTTCTTCACTTTCTGGCCACTGAAATTCGATTCTATACCCACAGAGACGAAGGTAAGATCACTATGATGAAACAATTTTTCAAATAGTTTTCTATTTCTTCAGGAAAGTTAACAGCAAAAATTCCATTTTTGAACTTCAATGCAATATTGTTGATCTGAAATTTATGCTCGGAAGATATTTAGTTAACCTCAAGCAAATTGAAGTTTGAAGTGCTGTAGTTTTCAGTCTAATCAATTTCGTGTTTTTACAACTGAAACAATTTTAATTGAGTTTGGTTTGATTGAGTTGAGTTGAAATTGAAATTGGTTTATTATTTCAAAAACTCGACAGAAATTGAAAGGTTTAGAACTTTCGAACAAGTTCTCAAAGTTGAACAAATTAATTACTCCCATGTGGCTATTTTTCATAGCATAATTCGAAACACTATTTTATGTTTTACAACGAAAAGGTTTTCAACTAATTTACATGTTCTTGATTTCAACTTTGTCCAAAATATTTGTCCAAAAAACATAATAAGATAGACATTTATTGATGTGATTAAAATTTTGTATATTAGCATTTGTAGCACAAATTCAAAAAGAGCATGTTCAGTTTTGAATAATTCATAATTTCATTCCCTTATTTTTACATTTTTTAGCTGTTAACAGGTGATACATTATAAATACCTGTAAGGTTTAGATTCACTTCAGTTGAAATACTGATACAGTGCGTACAAGTTGTATTACTACATACTATTAAATACTGTACAATCCATTCTTTTACATTCAGTCAACCATAAAAGTACCACAACAATTATACACGGTATAAATCAAAAAAATTGAAGTAAAAAATGAAAAGAAGGTAAGTAATTAAATCCCCACTACAAAACCTGTTAAACGTTAGAAGCAACGAAATTTTTTGAATGAGAAAATTCCCAAGCAACTAACCATAAACAACCCTCTGCATTCCTATAGATGATAGTTTTATTATATATGTGAAAATGAAACTGTTCAGTCTCTTCAGTTAATTTAATTTAATATTCGTTATTTCATCATAAATTTCAATTTCTTCATAAATTTCAATTTTCAACGAGTTTAAGTAGAACTTCAACAGTTATTGCTTTCAATTATTGTTACTGATTTTCATTTCATTGAATTCTCTACTAATAATCTCAAAATTAATAAAAATTTTCTTTGAGTCGTTACAACAGGAGTGTAGGTGCCTCATTAAATGAAATATAGCCTACATATAGGAATTTCAATTTGTTGTTATTATTAAGTACGGAAAATTTGCGTATCCCGGATCTTCTACTGAGCGTTGTTATTTATGACACCTATTCTTAGTTTTAACGCTCAAGTAGTTCAAGATTTATAGCTCATGCAAGATGAGGCATGTTATGAAATTTATTTTCTTGGGGAGTAAATTCTACAACCAGTGGTTTCCCTATCATAAGATATGCTTCACCTACTATCCAAATCACTTCGAGTTTTGTTTGAGAGCCCTTTGAAAATATTACATTAAAAATTTTTCAATTGAAGATTTGCTTCATCAGTTTTCAGAAAATATTCGTTAAAATAAGCTACGGCATTGCTTAGATGTCTTCCGTCATTTAGTGATGTCAATATGGCTGTCAATATGGTGATATCAATATGGTCAGAAATGTGATGTTTGACATTTATACACATAGACAATAATGCATATAAATATAATTTTCAATGATCTTTGAGTTTATTGGATTTTGTTCTTCGAGAGAATCACAAATGCCAGTATATCTATTAAAAAAAACAATTTCTATTGAAAATTACTTCCAATATAAACAAATTCCTTGAAATGTTTTTGAAGTTTGCCCTAAATTTGTTACTGTGATAGTAACATTCGTGCGTACTCACTCAATGATTGTATTATATAAAATGAATGTGTTTACTTACCTTGGCATTCTTTGACATATTAATTGTGTCAAAATTTGCTGTATTGAAGTCCTTATTCGAAGTAGGTGATAAGGATATAACGAGGAATTGAATTTATGTAGTAACCTTAGAGATTAGAAAACCGTATACCTTTAAATACTTTGAGCAACGTATTCAAAAAATACGTGAGACAATATGGCTTTAATCATTACTTTTGAGTTAGGATTAGAAAGAGGTTGCAAGAAGACGATTAATTATAATGCACTACATTAAATGTCCACTTTCTTCACTTCTATCCACATGTCCTTTTATCACTTCTATACATATTCGTTTTTGGAAATATCGAATATGACGATCGTCTACTGAATCTTGTCAAGAATTCTTTTGAAAAGAATCATAAAAGAATTCAAAGGAAAATTACCGATAATGCTGAAAGAGTTGCATCGAACAAAAGCAAAATTGATGATTCCATTAGTTTTTTTTTGTATTAGTATGTTTTATTTTCATTTGGTATTAGGTATCCACATTTCCATTCGGTATTTTCAGCATTGATTGTCCTCCTCTTTTGTCTGCTTCGAAATTCTCGTACTACAGAATTATTCTACCTAGAGACTCCAAGGACCAACTCGCTAATACAATCACACACTTGGTTTATGGAATCTACATTCAATTTAGGTGCTGATAAATGTCATTGACTTTCACTTGAATTGAATTTCACTTGACTCCAAAGCAGTTATTATAAGGACTTATGTGAACAAGAGAATTTGACTACAATTAGAATTAGATTCAGTTCTTTGTAAAACTTGATTTGATTTTATTATTTAGTTATTAGTTACCGCTTTAGTTCTTTTAGATTAGATTAATCTCTTTGTTATATTTTTTTCCATTTTATTTATTTAGTTATTATTTTCCATTATGTTTTTGATTTTTGTAATTCATACCTGTTGACATAAAGCACTTATTTTCATCATTAATATTATTATTGTTTAATATTTTTGATTGGTAATTCATGGAAATGAACTGTCAACATTATGGGCAAAATGTAAGTTCAATCTAACAACTCACTGACGCCAATTTTTAATTTTTTTCAATGACTTTTTTTCAATGATTTTTTTCAATTTTAATTTATTCTCGATTGAATGGCCTAACAGAATTCATCGAGTTCTTTGTACTAGATACTGAAGCAATTCACGATTGGTACATCATCAAAACTTTTGAATTGTCTTGAAGGTTTCCTTGTCTGTTTATACTATTATCCAACTGAAAATGATGATTCTGTCCAATAACATATCTCAAAATGAAAAAACTTTTTTAATTGAATTTTCGATGAGACTTGCAGCATTTTCGGAACTCTGATGAATAGTGAACAGATAAGTGATGAACTCTAGTGTTTTGAGTTAAGATTGAGTCTTGATGTTGGGCTAATTATTCGAAAGAAGTTGACAACGTCATATTCTTATTGTATACAATACAATACAATTCTCTTGAAGGTTTCCTTGTCTGGTTATACTAGTATACAACTGAAAATGATGATTCTGGTCAATCACATACCTTAAAATGAAAATACTTTTTTTTTAATTGAATTTTTGATGAGACTTGCAGCATTTTCGGAACTCTGATGAATAGTGAACTGATAAGTGATGAACTCTTAAGTGTTTTGAGTTAAGATTGAGTCTTGATGTTGAGCTAATTATTCGAAAGAAGTTGACAACGTCATATTCTTATTGTATACAATACAGTCATGAAATATCGAGACAAGAGTTTAATTTAAATTATTATGTTGAATTATATATTTTGAAGATCGGGTTTCAGTCGAAAACTGCTTTTTTTTGTTTTTTCATTCTAATGTATCGTATAATTGAAAAATCTTCTACAACTATTAAAACCTTAGGCACATATGGTGGGCTACTAACCCATAACCAAGATTTAAATACAACCTAGGTGGTTTAGTCGGTAAAACACCCGATTATGGTGCGGTAGGATCTGAGTTCGAGTCCCGGTGAAGGCATGGGTGTATGTTTTTGTCTATGATATAAGTTGCTATTCGAGTCTCCTAGGCTTACTCGGGAGAACACCCGACTATGTTGCGGTAGAACTCGGGTTCGAGCCCCGGTGAGAACTTTGTGTTTGTCTATGATTTTAGTAGTTTAAATAATGATATCTGCTGGTTAATATACATTGCTTACAAGCCCAATGGCCGTTCCGAACCGGCGTTAAACTGTAGGTCCATTCAGTAGTGTGAAGCTTTGTTTTAACATAACCCACAATTATCCTTATTGATACTTTCAATATATTTTCGAAACGTATTATTAGTGATGGTTGAATAAATAAATTTAATAGAATGAAAACAAATGAGATATGCTTACCAACTTTGAACTAAACATTTGTAACTTTGTCTTCACAAGACAATTAGATTAATAATTCTGGACTAATTCTTTCCGCCTATCCACTGTTTTCCATCACCACAGCTTTTCTACCTAATTCCAATTATCTAATCTCTTTGTTCTTTCTTTCTAGGTAAGAAATCTCATTCAGATCCCAAATGGGATGCCAGGAACGATTCCGCTGTGAGTATTTCCTCATTAGCCAAGTCTGGAAGGATGTTCTTTATCAAGTTGTGCGTGAAGCAAATTGTGAAAAAAAGAAAACTTTTACTAGATTGGATAAAATACGATCACGTTCAATTTCATTTCGTTAGAATAAATTTCAACCAAGAATTAACACTGCTGGTGAACTGAGCAAGTGGTGATACATATAGGGTGAAAAAGATACAAAAATAGGCGAACACGTATGATTGAAAGAAATCTCATTCTGCGATACCGAAAAAACAGAGAATGTAATGCGGGTGATTTTTGTGAGATGTGGACTATTACAAGAGTCAAACTCATCGAGACTAGTTTCGCCGCTGGCATATTTCCAAAACTCGTCAATTTTCATGAAACTTGAAACCAATCCATTTAATTGAATATTAACTTAATTTGAAACACTTGACCTTACACTTTACTGACTACATAGCATGACGAGTTTCGTAGATACAAACGACGTCTTCAGATGCTAACAGAATATTGTTTGTACTGTATTTTGAAGACTTCTTTGATCCACGTTTTCATTCCTTGTATGGCCCTTCTACTTGCCAAACTACTGCTGTTATCTGTTCTTAGTTTGATGTACTTGTTGAAAGCATTTTCAAGTAACATCTTAAAGTACCATCGTGTCAAAAAGCTGTTATCAGCTTCTTTTAAATATTTAATAGTGTTGGCGTTTACTTGATGTAAATCCATTATTATTGAATATAAACTTAAATTCAAACAGTTGAACTTATGATTTACACTTCATTGACAACATAGCATGACGCATTTCGTCGTTACAAACGACTTCTTCAGATGCTAACAGAATAGTATACTGTTAGCATTCTGTCTCATCATTCTGTTAGCATCTGAAGAAGTCGCTTAACGACGAAACGCGTCAACGTTTTCAGGGATCCATTGTTCCAGAGATCCATTGCGGGTCCAATTTTATTTTTGGTCTTTATAAACGATCTACCAGACTATCTAACTTCAAGAGTGATTTTATTTGCGGACGACAGCAATATTTCCGTTGGTGGGTCTGATTTGAGTCAGAATGGAATTGTTTGTGACAGGGAGCGCTTGAAGGCCGAACAGTGGTTTGCAGGCAACGAATTGTGTATGAATGATGACAAGTCAAAGAGCATGATTTTCAGTTTGAACCATCATGATAGTGCGGCTGATTATACCAAGTTCCTTGGTATATGTGTTGATTCTCGCCTTACATGGAAACCACACATAGCATCAGTTGCCGCCAGGCTGAGTAGAAGCATATTTGTGCTTCGCAGTTTGATCGGATCTGTGTCGAACGGGGTACTCAGGTTGGCGTATTTCTCTTTGTTTGAGTCTGTCCTCCGATATGGCTTGTTAGTGTGGGGTCATTGTTGTGGGGTCTAGAGAGACCATTTTTAGACTTCAGAGGAAGGCAATCAGAATCATCTCGGTTTCAGACTATAGAGCCTGTTGCAAAATCAAATATAGGGAATTGCAAAGACTATCGTTTCCAGGTTTATATGTCTTTGTTTGCTTGTTATACGCTTACGAAACTAAAGATTCTATGTTTGTGGGTAGTGGTTTTCATCAGTATGCTACCAGATTTAGATCTGACCTTAGAATTGATTTCTCCATATTGAGCAGGTCGCATAATGGCCCGAATAACTGGTGTTGGAAATTTTTCAATGCTTTGCCTCATAGAATCCGCACCTTACCTATTCATAAGTTCAAATCATTACTGAAGGATATTTTAATCGAAAATGTTATTTACTGTTTCAACGAGTTCTGTCGTGTAGATTTCTCCTTATACATGACTTGGTATCATTTTATTTGTGAATGTATGTATGCAGATATTTGTGATTGTTTATGTTTTTATTTATATTTTTGAATTGTGTAAAAACAACTGTACGATGTTTTATTGCACCAATAAACTACTACTACTACTACTACTACTATAATTTAATCCCATTAAGTATTTTCAATACATAAGAAACAAGTCAAAAAAAGTTAATACAAAAGACAAAAAAGGTTGATTGTTTAAACTATATAGAAATAGTCTGAACTATTACAGGAAATTACAAAAGTATGAGACAAAATTGCAACCCAGAATATGATATTGTGTAATTTCCTCACATGATTCAGCAATCGCCAAAATATTGACTTCATTCTCTGACATTAATAAGTTTAATTTGTTCATCGCTGTAATCAAGCATATTTTAAAAACATATATACTTCATTAAATAGTATGTTAAGGTCATACATTTTTTGAACATATCACAGCTAATACGTGGGTCAAACTTGCTGTTAGTATTCAAAATTGTCAACAATCAATTTCCATAATGTTTTAATAAATTCTTGAACTCAGATCTCTAAATATGGATTAAAACTTTAGTACAAAAAATAATAATTAAATTGAAAGGCTATAGTCAACTGCAATGCAGAGAACCCTATTTATAGAGGGCTTGAGATTATACAATAATTTACCTTGCAAGATCAAAACTTTCCCGACCGTTAGTCATTTTGAGTCTAGGTTAAAAAAAAATTGATTCGATTTGAATTGACTGCTCATTCATCTTTATTGTTATTTTTTCATTTGTGTATTGTGTACAAAAATGTATACCTAAAGAGGGATTCGAACCCAGCCCTTCTGCTTCACGAGGAAAACGTTTTTTCCTATTCATCTCCAGTTTGAAGATCAAAACTATTCCCCTTTTTCCTGGTATATCTGATGAAATTTTATATCACGGTTTAATATTTCATGAGCCCCCCGAGTTCTATTTTGTAAATACTAATGATGCAATCAAATGCGTCTACAGTGAATAAGCAACAATTTACTCGGTAAATATTCCTTTAATATTTTGCTTGGCGTTTACATTTCACCAACATTATCTGTGAAAACTTATTTTCCAGAAGGCACAATGTGATATATTTTCGTGTAACTACAGGTAATGTAGCTTGAAACTTCGGTATAAAGAGTTTTTTACACTCGCAGCCAGCGATAAGGGTAATTTGATGAGCCAGTTCCCTCTGAATTTATGCTTTTTCAAGACTTAGCATAGCGAAATTCTGTGTATGAATTTCTAAGAGGTTGCCACTTACGTAATGATATTCTATCTCACATCAACTTCCTTCAAGGCAAATAATGTTGATTCAGAGTCTCGAGTGATATTCATTTCGAATTTGAAGAGTGACAGAATAGAAAAGTAAATATTACAATTGAAGCATCACATTCTGTAGAACTTTGACAGAGTTCATTGTTCCTTACCCATGAATTTGAAATTTAAACTCAGATACTCGGAAATGTGAAATATATTCATCCATTTAATCATTTCATTGTTCACGATATATGCCTAACAGGTAACATGAACCAAATTATGAGGTATTATTGAACAGGACGGATATTTGTGAATTGTACAAGTTCAGATATAAATCATAAATGAAATTAAAACGAAAGAAATACTTAAATTTTCAAAAAAATCAGCTAACGAAATTAAATATTTACATACATGCAAAGGAAGAAGAAAGAAGAATAAGTAGAGAAGATTAATGAGATTGAATTCTCGCTTAACTCTTGGTGAAACATAATTGAATATTAAAATAAATTAAACTCTTGGCTTAATGTTTCACGATTTATTTAACAATATGTATAGTCAACATGTTTCGAGCGTTAGCTCATTTTCAAGACTAAACTACTATAAGAGATGTACAACAAATTTATATCTACAAAATGGATTTGAGTAGGGAGGATAGTTGAAAATCTAATTGTTCATTTACAATTTCTTCTTTTCTCTTCCAAGAACTGCTAATTTCAATTGCTTCCAGAAGGTCTAAACGTTTACCTTTATTACCTGAGTGTAGGCATTTAGTTTTATCATAATCTATGAAGTGATTAGAGCTAATACAATGTTCTGAGAATCCAGTTTTATTAACATTGTACAAAATCGACCTTTTATGTTCATCAACCCGAGTTTTTATTCTTCTACCTGTTTGGCCGATATAAAATGCTGGACATTCATTACAAAAAATCTTATAAATACCGCTTTTGTCTTCAACATTTGTCTTTTCTTTATTATTCACTAAAAGTGACTTAATATTCCTTTTGTTTGTACAAATGGTTTTAATTTCTCTCTTCTTTGATCTTTCGCATTGATATATGAAACAATTGGATGCACCAGCTTATAAAATTTGTAAATATCTCAACTCAAAATTACCATCATTAATTAAATTCAACCCGGTTCACAGTATAAAAAACTCCATCGAACTTATCAATCAATTGAAAACTTTAAAAATTCCCATTAAAGCAAAATTGATCTCTTTTGACGTAACAAATTTGTTTCCTTCTATACCCAATGCAGAAATAAAAAATATTATTAATAGCACTTTAGATCTCAACAAATATCTTTCACAAGTAATTAAAAAAGAAACAATGTCAGCATTGTCCTTGTGTTTG